ATGTTCACTCTCAAATCCTTCAGACTTCATTGAAATAAACTTTCATATGACTTCACCCTTACCTACCCATCTAGCTGGAATCTGAACTGCAGAATACAGTACCAGAATTATCCTCACAGATTCTGCACACAATTGTCTTTTAAACTACGGTTTTTTGGTTGGTTTTTTTTTTTTTTTTGAGACTTACCTCCAACCAACCCACATTAATACTACCTACAACTTGAGGTGCATTAAAATTCTTAAATTTTATGTGTCTGGGTATTTTGCCTGGATGTATGTCTGTACAATATATGCATGTAGTGTTCAAGGCCCGAAAAGTATCAGATCCCCTGGAACTAGAGATACAGATGGTTATGGACCCCCATGTGGGTCCTGAGAATCAAGCACTGGTCCTCTTCAAGAATAGCCAGTGCTCGTAACCACTGAGCCATCTCTCCAGCCCCTTCATTTTTCAAATGGCTTTTGGGCCCAGAAGTGGCTAATCCTTTCTGCTCTGAACCTGAGGTTCTTTCACCTTCATTAACTTTGGGTCATAATCACTCCATTTTATTTATTGTTGAGACAGGGTCTCCTATGGCTCAAGCTGGCCTCAAATTCATTAATGTAGCTGAAGATGACCTGGATTTCTGACTCTCCTGTTCTGGGGTTACAAGCCTGTGCCACCTCACCATGGGGACTCCTCAGTTAGGGTCTCTTGGGATGCATCTCCTGTGTTAACCTGAGATGATTTTTAATGGCAGTTATTTCATAGAGCCTCCTAGCATCCCAAGAGCCTAAGAAATTTCAGTTCCATGCAGCTGTGTTCCAGCTTCCTTACCTTTTCTGAACATCTGTCAGACTGAAAATTTCCTGGCTTGCATCCCCAGACTGCCACAAGCACTAAACATTCCCTCAGAGTAAAGCCCTGCAGTATCTTCCCAGCCCCTTGAAAGCCAAAACAGCGACCTGACCTAGGATCTGCATTCAGGTTCCTTTTGATTAAGACACAGAAGAGAAAGAGGGTACTGGGAAGTCTTGACATTTTGCACAGGTTAAAAGGGGTATGGCTTGTAGTTTCTGGCTATGGTGCTTCGAAGCCTAACTCTGGCCTTCCTGACTCTTGTCCAGGTCACTTCTACTCTTCCAGAGTTTCAAACAGCTTCCAAAGACCAGGCCATTAGATACTGACACACATTTTGGTAATCACTTACATTTTTATAAGGTTATATGTAATTTTAAATTATTAAATTTATCTAATTATGTGGGTGGCATGTACCTGCCACAGCACACATGCAGAGGTAAGAGAACAGCTTTTAGGAGTTGGTTCTCTCCATCCACCATGAAGAGATGAGTACTCAAGTTGTCAGGCTTGGCAGCAAACACCTTGACCTACTGAGCCATGTTATTGGCCTTTGTGATCACTTTCAGGTCTATTGGAACAAAACAAAAAATAAAACAAGATAGGTACATAACACTTGGGAAGCCATAGTGCAGGATTTCAAGTCTGAGGGTAATTTGGGCTGCAAAGCAAGACCATACCAATAATTGTATGACGCTGATTGATGGTTTACCTTAACTTATACAAAATGAGTATTAAGTACATTTGATCATTCAGCAAGTTTCCAGGTCTACTCAAAAAGCCCAAAACTATAGTAGCATCCATCTTCAAAAAAAAAGACCTAAAATGCACCTGTAGTTTGTCTTGGTTGGCTACTTATCTGTAACCAATTAAAACCCAATCAACTAGGCACACCTGTGAGGGACCTTTCCTTAAGTCATCTGAGGTGGAAAGGCCCATGTCTAATCTGGATCTTTTGAGAAGACAAGTCACACATTTAATCTGCATCTTTGAGGAGAAAAGATCCACTTTTAATCTGGGCCACACGTTCTGCTGGCAACCATGGAAGGAGGAAGCTTGTTCTTTCTTGACCTGCTTGCTCTCAGTGAAGGCAAGTCCACCCCTTCACTGGCAGCAGAGTCTACTTCTCTGGGATTCCAGTATACACTGAAGACCAGCTGAGACATCCTGCCTTGGGGACTGAACAGACTCCTGGGTCCTTGGACCCTCTCTTGGTAGACAACCATTGTTGGACGAGCTGGACCACAGCCTGTAAGCCATTCTAGTAATCTGATATACATTCATTTATCAGTTCTGTTCCTCTAGAGCAGTGGTTCTCAACCTTCCTAATGCTGTGACCTCCCATTGTGGTGACCCCCAACCATAAAATTATTTTTGTTCTACTTTGTAACTGTAATTCTGCTACTGTTACGAACTGTAATGTAAAAATCTTCTGATGGTTTTAGGTGAACCCCGTGAAAGGGTCATTCAACATCCCCAAAGAGGGTGAGACCTACTGTTCTAAAGAATTCTGATTAATACACTCAGCTTGTTAGTAACTGTCCTAAATAATACTAAGTGACTGTTTTGGCTGTGGAGGGTTTTAAGGGTACAGGAGTACTTGACTTCCAGATAAGAAAATTAATGATTCCAGTCTCCATCCCGTTCCCATGAATCGTTAAGATCTGGAGTCCCATAACATGCCTGGACTGAGACTGTCTGGGGTGGGTTTCACTAAGGGGGATTTGTCCTTTGGAATACTCTCTGGCATTATATTTCGTTTCATTTAGGCACTTCTTCCTAAGCTTTAAGAAAGTAGAAAATAAATGGTATGCAAAGACAACCCTCCAAATTTAAACTGTAATCAAAAATCTACAGAACCCACAAGATCTCATTTCCACATTTAAAAAGCAAGTTAACAAACATCAAAGCCATTTTTGCTTTCAATATAGTTTATTCTGATGCAGTTACAAAAGTAGATACAAAATACTTTTTTAAAAAGTACAGTTAACGACTTAGAAAAATAGATAAAGCCCTAAAGGTTTTAAAAATACAACATAAATTTTTTATGTGAGGATTATTTTAAGTTATTTTAGATGATAACAAAGACTACCTTATGCAAACTATTTTTGATGCAGACCAACACAGAATGCTGTTCTATAATCAGCCCAGAGCACACTGGCCATCCAGAACGGCTTTACAGAATACTTTATTTGATATGTTCTGATGAGAAAACCCGCGTGAATTTCAATGTAGTTGCTTCAGTAAAATTACTGCTGCCACATGTGCTCCAAAGCCGAACAAAACCCTGCATCAAAACTGAATGTAAAATCAGGAAGAACAAAAGACTAGCATTTCCTTCGCTGTCGGAACCCTCACTGCTCTCGGGATGGAGAACATGACTGCTGCTGAAGGTCCTCAGCAGCTCAAGTCCAGGCTGGCTGTGTTCAGGCCCCATACTAACTGGGGATGCCTGCCACAGAGAGCACAGGAGCCCTGGCACCGTGACTGGACAAACACTTGTAGGGCCTACAGTCTTCCGTCCTGATTTGTTTATGCGCCTGAGGTAATGACATCATGTCTGAGAAGCTATGTCTAGTATGATCTTGGGGCTCAGAGAGAAGCCAAGAGTACAAACAGGAAATCTCACCACCAGGACTGTGCCTGTGCCTTTGCTACAAACCATGGAGAACAGAGACCTGCAGTTCTCCAGTGAGCAATTGTGTGAACTATAGCTCTGCAGGCTCTACAGATGATAAAAGAACCCCTGGCTAACTGGCTGCTGGTAAGACACTTTATTCAGTCAGTAGAGTAACAGTAAGAGTAGCTGTTAACACACACACAAAAATGTGCCACAAGGAAGTATGACTATTTTTTATAAATGTATCATTGTTTAAGTATTTTTTTTAATTTAATGAGCATTGGTGTTTGTCCTGCATGCATGTTTGTGTGAGAAAGTTGGATCCACTGGAACTTGAGTTACAAACACTTGTGAGCCACCATATGGGTGCTGGGAATTGAACCCCGGGTCCTTTGGAAGAACAGCCAATGCTTTAAACAATGTGCCATCTCTCCAGCCCCCAATATCCAAGTTTTTCAAAGTCCTGGAAGTTAAAGCACCATAGGGCTAAGGCAGAATTCACCAGGTAATCGGAAGCCACTGCAACAAAGTTCAGGGAGCAAAAGAGCTGTGGAGTACGCAGATAAACCCAGGACAGACTGATTTCTTCAGATGTTATAAATCGGCCCTCTAGCTAAAGGCAGAAAGACATCCTCCCATATTCTTGCCTCACAGGTGAGCAACAGTGCAATGTGTGTACACTGCTGATTAAGGCAGGTTGGTTTGGGGGGGTCTAGCACTGTTTTCATTTTAAAGATAGAAGGAAAAAAGAGAAGGGGGTCACAACAAAAAAATGGAGGCACTCTTTTTCACCAACAAGGCTTTGCTTTATATTCCACTAATGAGTTGCCTCCTCCGTATCTTAGCATCTATCCATCTGGAGCTCAGTCATGAAGAGGGCATTTCTATCCCTGAAATACATGCGGAGAAAAGAGAAGCCTTTGATTTGAGGGTGTCAGAATTCATAAAAAATGATTGGGCCCTGGTTGAGAAAGAGAATTTCATTCCTGAGAGACTAAAACAAATCAAGTAAATGGAGTCTTGGGTTGAGTCTTGGGTGATGCATTCTTGGTGTCATCTAGAAGCTGGCTTCCTTCCGGTCTGCAGATGACTGTCATACACTTGCAGAATAGCTGACATCTGGACCTCTGCATACACACCTGGGTTGTGAGGTGCTTCCAAGCTGTCTTTTTTTCCCTAAGTCATTATCCCAACTTGAATTCCTCTAATGGTGTTATGTGATTTCAGCCAAAATAAAGACAAAACAGCTCCTTTAAAATTCTGAGTATACTTAAGAACATACTGAAAATGAGTTATTAAAACTGGAGTTTCTAAGCAATACTTTCCAGTATATTCTAGTGGAATCAAAATAAATAACAAAAACCTCACCAACTCTAACTTTTACAAAGCCACATAGGAGGCCAGTGGGCACTGTGTAAGCTCTGACACACAACGCTGATAAACTCCAGCACTGCCTGTTGGGCAAGTGTCCAGAATTCCTGGGATGTCATGTACATCTGAGGAACTGACTAGATCTGAGGGCACATGAAAAGCAGGCACTTCTCCAATAGAGGAGTCTTTTATCTTCACAGGATGAGGAAAAATTCAAGTTTTGATACAAAGACAAGTAGGATAGAGTTCACTGCAGCCTGTGCACAGTAACACAATGAAGCCAAGTTGTTACCAACTCACTCCCCTTGCTGGGTCTCCAGCTCTAACAGGCCCAAGGAGACCTGCTGTCACACACCCCCGCAAGCTATTCTGTGGTTTTGACCTTTGTCTTTATTGCTATGAAGTCTGTGCATTTCTAAACAGAAACGTAAGTTTCAAATTGCAATAAAAACATGGAATCATTTAGGAAGTAATCAAGTACTCTGAATACTTTTTCTACTGTCCCTCAAGAACTGCAAGAAAACATCAATGAAAACAGTGGCTGTGAGGCCAAAGTGTGTCACAGGATTTTGGAAGTTTCCTTGATCTCTGCCCCAAGCTACATATGAAGTTAATCTGAGTGAAGAGTCTCAAATGAGAACCGGCAAGGCGCCGTCAGAGCCACAAGGATCACACCTGCCATGCACTCTCCTCATACAGTCAGACATGAAGATAATCCCAAACAAGTTTAAAAAGTAAAGTCACTTACAATAACTTTGGTTAATCTCAGTCTACATATGCATATGCAGTCTTACATATGCATAGTTTATACCTTGTGGATTTTGCAAAACATTTTTTTAGAAAGTTTAACAATGTAGCCCAAGCCAGCCTCAAATGTGAGATCCTCCCACCTCCACAGTGTCAGGTAACAGGCATGGCCTACATGTGTGGCTAAAAAATTAACACTCTAGAAAACATCAGTATACATATGTGAAAAAGGCTATCCAAAGTGAAACAGAAGCTCTAAATGTTGGGATTTAGAAACGAAACACTGCTGATTTGTAAAACAAAGCAATGATCTGTTAAGATGTTTGTTCTAGAAACTTACTAATAAGTTCCTGCTGAGAATTCTTAATGTCCATTATGCTGTCACACGGAGAAGCTCAAATTTTCTTTTTCTTCTTTTTCTTTTTTTTTTGGTTTTTCCGAGACAGGGTTTCTCTGTATAGCCCTGGCTGTCCTGGAACTCCCTCTGTAGACCAGGCTGGCCTCGAACTCAGAAATCCACCTACCTCTGCCTCCCAAGTGCTGGGATTAAAGGCGTGCGCCACCACCGCCCGGCCATGAAGCTCATTTTCTTGAACAAAGCTCAGCAACAAACTACAGGTTAGTCATGAGGTTAAAACAAAGAAGAACGCTAACGGTAACAGGGTGGCCACACAGCACCTCTGATTTAGCTGTGTCGTTGGATTGTTCTGAAGCTATCCGGCCAACCTACCTTTGGGACAATTTTTCTGCAGACACAATGGATCTTTTGATCCTGGTTTCTTGTAGTCAGTATCACTTAGTCCACACCAGACAGCAATGAGAGAGTGCTAGCAGTAGACAGAGGGAGAGCGTAACTGTGTTCTAGAAGAAACATTTATCTGTCTTTAGATCCAAGCTTCTCAATTAATTCCTGAAGTGGTGCCAACTCACGCCTATCAATCAGATTAAACTCCTAAAAAGAAAAGAAAAATGTAATAATGAACTAAAATTGAAACTCTTACATATTTTTCAGAAATGAGCTTCCTAAACCTAGTTTTCTGAAATCTCAAAGAAATGTCATTTATGATCTATAAAATGACTATTTTTAGTCTTTTTTAAAACAAGTGCAGGCTGAGGAGAAGGCTCCGTTAGTAAAATGCTTGTCACACAAGAAAGCCCGATAAAGTACTGTAACCATGGTACTGGGGAGGTAGAAACAGGAAGATCCCTGGAGCTTGCTGGCCAGGCGTCTAGCTGAACCAGTAATGCCTAGTGTTGGGAGATGCCCAGTGTTGACTTCTGGCTTCCATCTACATGTGTACCCACATGCACAGACACACACACCATACATACACATATACATATAATTTAAAAACTAAAACATTGGTGATGTGACATATGCTGGTCTTCCTCCACATTTCCTGACACACAGCTAAAATCCTGGAATCTCTACAGTGTCAACAGTATCTGGTGACCTATAAGATCACCGCTGTGACTGGGCCCCAGAAAGACCAACACATGACTCCTGATTTTTACAGTACTCGGACATCAGGCTCTCTCCTCCCTAACCAACTGTGGGGGGTGAGAGGAACTGTACCTATGAGATGGTCCTCATCATTGTGCTAAACACCAAAATGAAATCCATGAATTTATACAGAAATGACCTGAAAATTATAAACTAAACCTCTGAAATAACTACCTCATGAGAAATCAACTTCTACTTTTATACATCTACATATGAACATACACAAGTATGCACACACAAGGCACACAGTCTCAGAAGGAAAAAGAAAAACATTAAGTGTGGTATAGCTTTTCCATTATACAGAGCCAAAATACACAACAATCACTAAAAAGCTACCAGTTTTCTCTACTATAAAATGATAATTTACATACAGAATTGCCTAGCTCTAAAAAAAAAAAAAAAAGTCCCTTTTTTTATTTTTTGGTTTTTTAAAAAAAGTTTAGTGAAGTGTGTATCAGCCACACATGTCGGGGTATCTGAAGAGAACAAAAGTAGGTATCAGAATTTCTGGAGCTGAAGTTAAGACTGGTGTGAGCTTCCCATGCAGGTGCTAAAAACTGAACTCAAGTCCCCTGCAAGAGCAGAAAGTGCTCTTTACTGCTGAGCCACCTGTCTCCCCAGCTTTCTTTTTTGGTTTTTTGAAACAAGATCTGGCTAGGATCAGAGCGATATGCTCTGATAATTCTTAGTGTCTTTTCAAATACCTTTATTTGACCTTTTACAGTTCTGTTAGTGCTCACAGGCAACAGGCCACAAACCTGCATGACCAAAGAAAGCTCTAGGCACCCAGTCCCCAGTGAGATGCTGCCTTTCTTCCTCTCTTTCTTTCTTTCTTTCTTTCTTTCTTTCTTTTTTTTTAAAGATTCAGTTCTCTATTTTAGGTGTATATATGAGCTTTCATGAGTTTATGTGAACCACATGTGTGCATATGTCTGCAGGAACTAGATGAGGATGCTGGATCCTTTCCAGCCTATTGTGAGCCTCCTGATGTGGGCTCTGGGAACTGAACCCAGGTCCTCAGCAGTAACTCTATGTGTTCCTGCTTAACTGCTGAGCCACCTCTCCATCCCTGAGAAACTACCCTTCTATACTGCTTCATGAATCAATGACACAGTGTGGAGAACAAAACTGGGGACAGAACAAAGCTTAAACTTCAATTAAAAAAAAAAAAAAGCTTAAACTTACACATTCTACGTCTATAAATAAGACAATGTTTTTACTAAGTTATCAAGGTCCAAGTCCAAAGCCCAGAGATCAATATGGCTCACCTACCTGAACAAAGAAAATAAAGTGCTTAAAGGAGGTGTTGAGGTGGGCCTCCTCTTGCAGCTGCATCACAGAGTCAAAGTGCTGGTGGTAAATATGGGCATAAACCCTGAAGAGACGCTTCAGAATAGTCTTTGCCACAGACATGAAGTTTTTTGGAAATGGGACACCTGTAATTGAATACACACCTATAAGTCTTTTATCAAATCAGAATGTGCAAGTCTTGATGCAACCCAGATCCACTGTAGCGCACAAGCTTACACATTCACAGAGCAAGGGAAATCCCAAACTAAGTATTCTTCACACACCACAGATTGCCTAAAACATAGGGATAGAGGCTGCTGAGTCAGTTCAAATGAACAAGTTGATTGTTTAATATCAGAGTTTCTCTCTAAGATCAAATGCACAAGAATACACACTTTGGTTATAAACATCACTTTTGTCGTTTGTAATAGGAAAAGAATTTAGGAATGGACATTTTCCTAAACATATACCACTCAAGCCTTTACTATCATCTATGTAGGTAGAAAATACTTCATCTTCTACATTACTCTGGAAAGTAAGTCTTCATTTTCCTTTATCCTAAAAAGGGTGATCCTTCCTGAAACAGAAGAAGGGGGCTTTTTTCCCTCTCCGAGAAAAGAAATACCTCATGAGAAAATCTGGGAGGTGTGGGGATCTTTCCAAGCAATAGCCATGGGGTGAGTGGTTACACACTGGACAAGTTTGGATAACAGAACCAAATCCTTTATGGACAGGAGAATGCCAGCGAGCCAATGCTAGCTACATAAACCAACACTAAGAAAAACTAAGATGGCATCTGCCAGCCAAGCAAGTGGTGCTTGTGTTTAATTTAAGGCAGAGACAGGTGGATCTCTGGGAGTCCATGAACTCTACAGTGAGTCCCAGGCCCAACAAAAAGTCAGCTTCAGGGGCTGGAGAGATGGCTCAGAGGTTAAAAACACTGGCTGCTCTTCCAGAGGTCCTGAGTTCAATTCTCAGCAACCACATGGTGGCTTACAGCCATCTGTAATGGGATCCAATGCCCTCTTCTGGTGTGTCTGAAGAGAGCAGCAGTGTACTCATATACATAAATAAATAAATAAATAAATAAATAAATAAATCTTAAAAAAAAAAAAGTCAACTTCAAAAACCAGTTCCTCAGAACACCTTTGAACCTCTTGGAAAATGGAGGCTTTTAATAGCATTCCTACCATGCATCTTACCTATTTCTTTAGTCAGCCCTTAGAAGCTTGATAGAATAAATCTTGTATATTTTTATGGTATTCCCAACTCCTAGTCTTGGCTAAATTGACTTCATTCAAACATTACACTGAAGTTTATGAGCGGTTTCTCAGAGCAAAATGTTAATATGAGATACCACAAAAACAGACTTTAAAGTCAAACAGCTTTTCTCTTAAAATACCCATCTTGCAGCCGGGCGGTGGCGGTGCACGCCTTTAATCCCAGCACTTGGGAGGCAGAAGCAGGCGGATTTCTGAGTTCGAGGCCAACCTGGTCTACAGAGTGAGTTCCAGGACAGCCAGCCAGGGCTACACAGAGAAACTCTGTCTCGAAAAAAAACCAAAAAAAAAAAAAAAGACTCCCATCTTGTTAATGACTTATAATATGCTAAGGGGGCTGGAGAGCTGGCTCAGCCGTTGAGCACTGACTGGTCTTCCAGAGGTCCTGACTTTGCTCAGAGCCCCAGGAACTATAGGCTGACTTCACTCTTCACTACCGTAACAAAAACAAAAATAGTAGTTCTCCTAGCAGAACATTTTTAAAAAGAAATGGAGAAGTTGGGGTGTAACTTAGTGGTAGGCAGAGCATGTGCTCAACCACATGAGGGGCCCTGGGTTTAAGCCCCAGCACAAAAGAAGTAATAACTTTCTCAGTGTCAAAATGTAATTTGGGGCTCTGAGCAGAGCTCAGGGCAGAACATGAACCTAGCACACATGAGGTCAGGCTTCAATCCCTAGCACCACAAAAAGCAACAATGAAACAACCCATGTTTTACAGGAGATGAGCAAAATAAGAGAAGTGTATACTGTAAAACACTGCATAAATAAAATCAAAGGTACCCTAGGGGAAGAAAGTACACAGCTTATATGATAAAGATGAAATACCTATAACAGACAAAGGACATAAACAGAAGAGAAAATGTAAATAAAACCGAAAGTCCTTCATCTCATCAACAGTTGTGTGCATGGGCAGACGTGTACCTATGCATGGCATGTGCTGTAAACACATGTGGAGGTCGGAGGACAGCCTCCATCTACCATGCAGGTCCAACTCAGGCCACCAGGCTTGGCAGTAAGTACCTCTACATACCGAGCCATCATGCTGGCCCCTTTGTCAGTATTTTTAAATGGACATTAAAACAAAGTTTAGGGCCAGTGGGATGGCTCAGTGGGTTTGGTGCTTGCCATGAAAGCCGAATGACCTGAATTAGATCTTCAAAACTCATGTAAAGGCTGGACACAGTGACACACACCTTTATTCCCAACAGTGGTGAGGCAGAGGCAGGCAGATAGATGTCTGTGAATTCCAGGCCAGCCTGGTCTGCATAGTGAATGCCAGGAAAGCCAAGGCTACATAGCGAGATCCTGTCTTGAAACAAAAATAAAAAACCATGTAAAGGTAGAAGGACCAAATCCAAAAAGTTGTCTGGCCTGTACACATATGCTGTCGTACACAAATCCTGCACACTCACACCACACACATAAAATACTTTTTATTTTAAAATAGATCCAATTTAATCAAATTGGAAAAGATTAAAAAATAAGTATTAACTGGTATGAAGAAAACAAGTAGGTATGCTAGGAGAATATACATAGATACAAGTTCTTTGCAGAATGTGGCCTTCTCTGTTAAACTGATGTAAAGGAATAGAACATTTAAAGATTTCAGTCATCACTCACAAAGAAAGGCTGTTCCAACAGTGTTAACTTACCAATCTTAGAAGGAAAAAGAGTTTCATCATCAAGCTGATCCTGAACCCAAGTCATCAAATAGTCAATATATTTTGGTGCAGAACACTTAATTGGCTTTTTAATATTAGTGCCATCTGCCCAGTGGTATTCATACCTGCAGAGAACAATAAAGTGTTAATGACAGTTGTTAAAACCTTAACATGGACAACCTGTTATCAAAGCAGGTTCACATTCTGTCCATGGAAATTTTATGTGACTTTAAGAAGTTAAAGGAAGGGGGCTGGAGAGATGGCTCAGCAGTTAAGAGCACTGACTGCTCTTCTAAAGATCCTAAGTTCAATTCTCAGTGACCACAGTGTAAACTTTAAATCAGGTTACAGATAGTAGCTCACAACCATCTGTAATGGGATCTGATGCCCTCTTCTGATGTGTCTGAAGACAGCAACAGTGTACTCACATACATAAAATAAACCTTAAAAAAACAAGTTATAGGAAACTCTCAGCCTATCTTTTTTTTTTTGGTTTTTTCGAGACAGGGTTTCTCTGAGTAGCCCTGGCTGTCCTGGAACTCATTCTGTAGACCAGGCTAGCCTCGAATTCTCGAACTCAGAAATCCGCCTGTCTCTCTGCCTCCCAAGTGCTGGGATTAAAGGCGTGCGCCACCACCACCCAGCAAAGATATGTAGCCCAGGCTGGCCTCGAACTCATGATCCTCCTGCCTCTGCCTCCTTCAGCAAATCCTACCGGTGTGCGCCACCACTACCGGCTCTCAGCCTATTTTTAAGTCATCACCATTAAGACTTTCTTCCTCGGCCGGGCAGTGGTGGCGCACGCCTTTAATCCCAGCACTTG